AGAAGGCGATTTGGTTACTGCCATTGTCCCACCAGTTCTGTACAGTAGTACTCGATGCAATGTTTCGGAAGCCAACCATGTTGTAAATTTGACGCCAACGATGCTCACATATCCAGCCACCACTGCAGGAATTATCAGCATTAAATATGGGACTGGCAATGTTGTTACCATCGGTTGTTGGCGGACCTTGATCGGAGTTGTCGAATGCAAACGAAGACATAATACGAGGAATACCAAATGGATGAGCCAACATGAAAGCATTAGCCATTTTGTATTGTTTCGAATTTTTGTAGGTGAGAATATCACTACCTCCGGCACCATGTCCACGTTGATTATCGTGATTATCCACAAAAACAAAAGCACTAGTCGATGGAAGGAGACCCCATTTCGGACTCCAATTGGTTTACCAACGAAGTTGGTCTCTACCCCTGAATACCTTGCCAGTAGAGGCGGAATGAAGGAATTCGGTGACCACACCCAAGTCAGTATATTCGTTTTTGGAGATAGCTTCGCCACCCAAATCAATGACCTCTTGGTAAATAAATGGACGGGAACCACCAGCGAAACCGTGTTCTGTATTCAGATTATTCAAACGATTGTAGATATTCTGAAATAAATATATTTTATTACATCTATTCATCTATTTGAGTTATTAATTTTGTAACTACCTTTAAATCAGAAGGCCACATATTTAGCAGCATCAACTCGGAAACCAGCAACGCCCAAATTGATTAGTTTGTTGAGAAAGTCAAGAATACGAGCTTGTACCCACATTTTACTTTGATCCAGATCTTTTAGACCAACCAATTCGCAGTTGCGAACTTGATTAGCATCATTGTATGTGTTGATCGCACAGGTAGCATGGAAATCAGTGCTGGAGTACGGAACCGCTGGATAACTCTTGTTTCTAGGATTAGCTGTTGAGCCAGCAGTTCCAAGAGGATTGGAGCGATCGGCAGCCATATGGTTGAACACCGCATCCACATAGATACGAACTCCGGCGTTGTTACATCTCATCACCATATTGGCAAACTGTTGCTCATTGCCCGAACGAGTGGTCAAAAGATAGGAAATGGGTTGATAACGTTCCCACCATGGCCGATTTTCAACAACGATATTCTCATTTACGGGAGAAACCTGTAAATCGAAAATATGTTTTAAAACACTTTAACCTTCAAAGAAATCTTTTTAACTTACTTGAACACCAGCATAACCTTTAGGACCAAGAAAATTCTCACACTCGGTAGCTATATCGTTCCACTTCCACTCGAACAGATGAACCATTGTTGTACGTCCCAATACATAATTGGTATTGAATTGAGCGCAAGCTTCGTGGTTCGAACCGAAGAGAAACAGAAGAGCACAGAAACATATTTTGGTCAGGATCATTGTTCGGTATTTACCTTAGTGAACTACAAGCGATAAGATTGCCGTAGACTCAAAAATTTAAAACTAAATTAAATATCTCAGAACTCTTCTGCTTTTATATGAAATGCATGCTTACAAAAACAAAAGCAATTTTTTATGAATGAGTCTTTTATACGAGGCGGTATATAAATAGCTTTGCTAGTGTGAGTGGCGAAAATACCGAACCAGAATAAGGAGCGAAAAGAATTAAGTTTATGTGAGAGATATAAGTAGTCGGTAATTCATTGGTGGTCTGACCACTCAAGAGGCAAAGATTTATTTCTTGATACAAATAATCGATTTTTAATAAACAGTTAAGATAAGGTCAGATGATTTTAATAATGTTAAACAGATCAGTCTCACGCGTTCTCTTCATGAATAAATACTCGTAGTAATAATGATGTAGCTCTTAATAAAACAAACCTCGATCCATTGGTTGAACTTTAGAGCATGTTCTTTTGAAAATTTTTACTCACACTTTACAACATGAATTAAATACACACTTTTTCTCTGATATTCCAGAAATTGGTGCTTTGAAACAACTTGAAGAGCTCAACATATCCAAGAATCATCTGCAACGACTGCCAATACAGCTAAGCGAGTGCCAGCGTCTAAACGTGCTGAACCTCAGTGACAATGTCAACATCTGGCATATACCCGAGCGGGTCTCCAACCTACCATCACTACAATCTCTATCAGCGGATCGTACGTAACTATCATTGCTGATTCGACTTGTTCTGCTTCTGTCACAGTCTCCTTTACTCTACATTTTCTACAACTTTTCTACTTTTCTGTCAGGTTGCTCACTTTTTTACCTGCCAGTGGCACTTTCTAAGTTCATAAACCACGTCCGCATATTTCACAACACATCCATTACTCACGTGCCCATGATCTATGAGAAGCACTTCCAAACTTTCTATGATAATCGCGCAAAAGTAACACCGCTGTAAGTTCGTGTAATTAAAACCAATAACTTACTTATAACTCTACAAAAATATTTCTAGTGCTGTAACACACGACAGTTTCTTCTGGGTGTTGGAAAAGGAGACCAATACTAGACTACTACTGCCCTTCGGAACACGTCGCATCTTTTGTGTGCCCTCGCTAGACAATCAAGTCACACTTTACGACGACTGTCTAAGGGCAGTACAGTATCTGAGTCGCTACATGCCATTATGGGAGAATGTAGCGCTCAAGCAAATGCTACCGGAGAAGTTCATCTACAATCATATCGTACATGGACCGACTGCCCGTTGTACAGTGCTGAATTGTTCCAATCCCTTGTACACAACTTACTATTTTATGGCTGTGAAACGGTATGCGAATGTTATGCTTCTCTTTTTCTTGTACAATCTTTTCATTTCACTCTCTATGCGTAGGTGTGGCAGCTCGTCGAAACAAATTTTCACTTGCTACTTTTGTTCGAATCACTGTGCGAATTTGTGGCTGTTGGCGAATGGCAAGAAATACTATCAGTTAGAGTGGGAGGTGTGTGAAGATTAATGTGTTCGCAGCGATACTGCTGTAAACTTGTAAACACACATGTACATATAACGGTCGAGAAATGTACAATATATAATTTAATAACTAAACGCTTAAGAAAATAAATTTAAGTAGACGCAATCTATTTGTAGACAAAATTTTTAAAGACTTGTTATTAGTTAATATGGAGTTGGACAGGCTGGGCTCTGTCTTAAAATTGCTCAACTATTATTGTAAAGATCAATATAATTTAATACTTGCTTCCTTAAATCTTTAAAATGCTAAGGTAGAAAATCTTAATATAAGCATGTGTCTGGAGCAGTAAAAAATTCGAGAGTTCAGTATTGTTTTTGATTTGTAACATCGAAGCCGATAAAATGGATCGGAAAAGAAATAGTTGTACTGCACTTGAATTTCAAAAACTTGATGAACGCTTGAGGAGTAAAACAGTAGAAAAGAATGGATCTAATTAGAAATTTACATATTTGACATCGGTGATTTTTGATATGGTGATGTGAGAAAGAAAGAGAGACCTAGTTTTCAGAAGAGATATTAATTAACTTGGGAATCAAGAATGGTAAATTTCTAAGCAAAATTATTAATTAATTACGATCCTTCCATGTCTATACACAATATTGGATTGTCCTAGCACAAAACGTCCGCCATTTTTTGGTATCTCAAACAAATTTCAAAAGAACAACTGTTGGCGTCAAATTTACAACATGGTTGGCTTCCGAAACATTGCATCGAGTACTACTGTACAGAATTGGTGGGACAATGGCAGTAACCAAATCGCCTTCTGTCGTGGCAATAA